CACTCCGTATGCATGTGGAGAGAGTCTCTATACTACACATGATTACATACTTCAAAAGTGTAGCCATATATAAAGTGGTTCTTGCTTTCATAAACTTCCTATGTGGGATAAACTCAAATTTAGTTTTCCCTCCAACATAAACCATATTTCAATGGTTCACTTTGAACTCAAATTTCTCATTCACCTGAGCTTTACTTTTGACAAGTAAATACATGATTTCGATATACTCATGAAGGAGAACACAAATCAATCTTTATCTTCCAAAATAGCAAACGGGTCTCACTCAAAACTCATGTCAAAGTCAACCACATACTCATTTTTCCAACATATTTAGAGCAGAAGATTTGACATATTGTGTACATGGAGGAGGTCGAACTTTTAAAAGATGGTTGTTCAATTACAATTTATTGGATATGGTATGATCTTTTATCCCAAGACGTTAACGTAAAATTAAATTAATAAATGTCACTTTTAAATAAGTAGTCAACTTGATAATAGGGCGAATAATAATGAGGAGATTAAGTATCACAATCCCCAGTCTAAATATCATTAATAGTTTAAAATTTTAGACGAGATAATTTAATACTTCAATAGATACGATTAATTACTTGTCACGCTAGTTACATAACATTAAGTGGTTAATTTGACAAAGATCCCATCAAATTACAAGTCACTATGGTTGCACAAGACATGCCTCGGCCAATCTCAACTTGTTCATATTGATAGAGTAATTATATTCACACTATATTTTTTTATTTGTTACACCATATTTTAATTTTATTTAAAGTCCTCAATCTTTGCTTACTATAATCTTTTTGTCGTTAACTTTATTTTTTTGAATTTTATTTTCAATATTTTATTAATTAACTTATCTCATATTTTATAATGATTTCTGTCAAACAAATCCGTTTGGAGGCGTAAAATAACTTATTTTTGAATTATATTTTTAAAAATTAACAAATGCAAAAGTATGAAAAAATATTTTTTCTTGATTTTAATGTACACACAAAAAAAAAAAATTTATTATTATTTTAACTAAAATCATCAAAGACAAGATTTGTTAATTAATAAAATGTTGAAGATAAAAGTTCGACGACGAATAAGTATGGACAAAAGTTTTACAATGAGTAAAGATTAAGCACTAAGTGAAATTAAAATATGGTGATGCTAAAAAAATTATGGTGTGAATATGCGTGCGTCTCTCTCTCTCTCTCTCTCTCTCTCATGAACAAAAGCCTAATCTTTCTACTTGCTTTTCTTTGAATGATGATTTAGCATGACCATTGCTTTCGATAAAGACGAATGAATGTATTTGTATCAAGAACAAAGAAAAAGCTCAAAGTCAGTCAACAATTACAAAGAATGGAATGAGAACGGAATAGTATTATGAGATAGAAACTTGTACAAAGTGGGTAAACTATTTGAGCTTGTTTGGGAGGGATTAAAATCAGATTAAAATTGAAAATATAGTCGTTATTGTTGACTTTTATTAGACGGGTGGGACCCAATAACGACCATATTTTCAATTTTAATTGGATTTTAAATCCTCCCGAATG